ATTCTTTATTGTTGGTTGTAGTCATTGTAAAGTGCTATTGAGATCCAGGAAATAGTGCTCTATATATATCATATATTTTCATACATACTAGCCCTGGTTTATTAGCCACTCTAAAAATCACTTACTTCCATCTATCTGTAGCTGTATTTTCTTTTTGCTCTGCTCAGACATTATTTTCTCTCTCTCCTCTTGGAGGGTCTCAAGGGAGCACCTAGTTGGCTCTCAGTCTTTCAGGTTTTTTTTCTTTCTCGTTATTTACCGCTTCTTCTGATTTAACGTTATTCACCTATTGGGGATTTTGTCATTAACTGGTTTATCGATGGCCCTCGTGTACTCTTGAACTGCTTTAAATGCCATTTTATTGAATCTTACGCCCCACGGATTAAAGCCTTCTTTGTGGATGACGCTTGTACAGCTACAAATAACAAGAACATCACCCACTCCCTGTGGCTGCTGTAGTGGTAAAAGAAAACAGCATGCACCTGTCTTACTCAATAGCAATTCCAAGCTGGATGGAATATGTACAAACAATTTCCAAAATCATCTAATTGATGACAGTGGCAAAATACATAATTTGCATATCAACAAATTAAATATTCAAAGCAACACCCTAATGATGCCATCTTCTAGCAAGACCGAGTTTGCTTCAAGTGTTCTGTTGGCAATGTCAGATCTTTGGTCCCAAAGAGTGACAAAATTAGTATCCTAATATCCCAAAAAAACTTTGATTTGATCTTCCTTACGGTGACTTGGTTACAAGAATATGTTGGAGACAATCACTTGACACTAAACAACTACAATCTTCTTTGGTGTGACCGCTCCCCAGGTACACATGGAGGAGTTTGCATATATATAAAAGAATCTGTCAAGACCGAAAGACTACAAGAGCTTGAAGATCCCACCTTTAAAGTCCTACAGTCCTACATCAGACCTCCACGATTACCAAGAGGGATTAATTGTGTCATCACCACATGTGTTTACCACCCACCTAGTTCTAACAACACTAAAATGTTGGAGTGCTTGTCTGATGCCATTCCACATGTTGAGGGTCTATTTCCTGGTTGCGGTATTATTATTATTGCTGGCGACTTTAAACAACTGGACACAAAACATCTTTGTTGAGATTTCTGCCCAAAA